GAATGTAAACACAAACAAATAGCTTTATTGTATACAAAATAAAATAAAAAAGTAAAAATGTAAAGAACTTACACTAAGCTCCTGAGAACTAATTCCCCAAGTAATTATGCATGTATATACACACACACCAGCAAGAGGGTGAACTTGATAAAAAGGAAAAGGGAGGAAATTGGGAAGTTTTAGGGAAGGGACATACAACCTGAAATCATGGGCTTTAGGTCTGGAAAGGAGTCTGCAATGCAGTTCAGGAGTAGTCAGAAACCTGGGCACACTTTCCACTGACCTGGGATGGTCTTTTTATGGGAAGCTGGACACGGGAACCCACTTTCCCAGGAACCTGATTGGTCCCAGATGTGAAGTTTGAATCTCACTGGCTGGTTTAGAGTTATCTGCTGTCAAACCTTGGTGGGGAAAAGTGGGGAAAATACCTTGATTAGGCTTTTGTGAGCCAAATCTGCATGGGCACAGTGAGCCTGGGTGAGGCGAGATCACTCCTGAAACAGGATGGAACGTAAATTAATGACTTGAGTGCCCCTCTTGAATGAGCAAAAAAAAGGGGAAAGTGAACCAGGTGTTGGTTAATGAAATAGTAACTTCCTTGGGCTGGGCAGACACCTCTGGGATATGCCAGGACATTCCAAAATTGAAAAGTCTTTTGTTATTGAGAATGAAATGAAGTCTTACTGTTACTGAGAACCCTGAGCTGGAGGAGATTGCACTTAATCAGTTTGTAATGCCAGCACACCCTACCTCTTTCCTGGGCTTTCATGGCTGTACTCAGGTGCCTTCATGAGACTTTCAAAACTTCAGGTCCCCTTGGCACTTAGGCTCTAAAAGGGGGTGCCTCTTAAAACAACTAAGTCCAAAATAAGACTGGGACCCCATTAATGAGGGGTTGGGGTCCTCATACCTTCTCTGTGCAAAGCAGATGCTCTACCACTGAGCCACAGCTCCAATTCGTCAAACAACCTCCTTTGCCTCTCTAACCCTTTGTGGATGTTTCAGAATGCAGCCCCTTCCACTGCCCGTTCTCTGTCCTTTCAGGAATGGATAATCAGACCGTGCTGGCTGTACAGTCCTTACTAGATGGCCAAGGAGCAGTGGCAGATCCGTCAGCACAGAGTGTTAACACATCCAGCACCATCCAGTCCATGGGTGAGTCCTTTGTTTGCATGTGAAAGCCTAAAAGGAGAAAAAGAGTCAGGGCTCTCCATCAATTGCCTTATTTATGTATTCATTTTATTTATGGCTTTGTTATCTGTTGCTGTGTTGATCAGTATCACGTTATGAGAACCCTGTGAGATGAAGATACTTACAGGGCTTTTCTTCTGGGGAAATGCGCCGGAACAGTTCTGGAACCTCTTCAACAAAATTAATGAGTTTTCAGTATACAGATTGAAACTTCATTTCCCTCTTTAGAGTTCCGGCATCTTTTTCAAAAAAGAAAAAAGAGCCCTGCTTATGTACCTCCCTCAAAGGAATGAAATCTTATTTTGCCCTTCTAGCCCATTTCACAAACACTTTTCTAGTAATATACATGGAGTGACTTAGAGTCAGTGTTAGAAGAGTTGTATCTACTTGCTGTATAGGAAAATGGCAAAGTGAATTTTATTTTACAGTAACCCAGAGTGAACTTTTGGAGAAAAAAAAAGTCTAAAATGATGTTGCTATAAGGAAGTAATGATTAGATATGCGTGAAACAAAATTCACTCTTAGAGCTCTATAGAGTAAAAAGCATCAGCTGATTGCCATTTTAAAATAAAAGATAGTCAACACTTCCACGTTATTTCTTCCTATAACAAGATTGATTGTGGTATTTATGAACAGTTTCCTCTTGGGTTTTCTATTAATCTGCACTTTTCTGCATGTTATATTCTTTTGGGATGTGATACTTATTTGTGATGGAGATCTCATGCCTCTGATTATGGAGAAAGGGCCTTTTGTGAAAAAGCCCCACAAATTCCTCAAAACCGTTACAAACCTGAGTGGACCTAAGGGAAGCACAGTTTCAACGAGAATGTTCAAAGGGAATACGGGAGAAGTGTGTTGCTTCTCACTGAAAGTCATAAGTGTTGGCATAATAGGAAATATTGTTTATCCCTTTTGTGGTTCCTTATGGCACTGTCTATAAAATGGCAGGAAGGGAGGGGACTGGAAAGCTAATCTGCCTGCAGGAGGCCTTGTACAGTTTTCTTGCTTTTTAAAACTGATTTATGCTTGGTTTTTGCTTCTTGTATACCAAGCTTAAAGAGAAATGTGTACCTCTAAATATGTAGTCGACAAGCTCTGGTGTACTTCCACTATACCTGTGTTTGAAATATGCATTTCTTCATCACAACTTACATGTATAGGCAAAAAACAAAATGGTACGATTGCTGGGTACAGTGTGAACTGGGCTCCTAACAGGCACTGTTGTCATGTGTCACCGTTCATTAGGCTCTGTCTAAAAGCCTGTTTTGGCCTAGGCGCCGTTTTAAAAATGTTCTCTTGTTGAAACTCCTAGTTATTCTCGAATGTTACTCAGAAGAAGGATTCTAGGGCTAGATCAGCCATTTTCTTTACTTTCCTGACTGCAGATGACGAGGATGTGTTCCTTTGCGGGAAATGTAAGAAGCAGTTCAACTCGCTGCCGGCATTCATGACCCATAAGCGGGAGCAGTGTCAAGGCAATACCCCCTCCCTGGCTACAGTCTCGCTGGCCACCAACAGTGTATATACTCCATCCATTACATCAGTGCAGCAGGCTCAGACCGCCAACAGACAGGTAGATATGCCTATTAAGGATAAGATCCTTATCCTAACTCAGTTCAGTTTTATCGTTTAATCAACAAGGATATCACAATGCTCAGGTAAGACAGGTGATAGAGATTTCCTACTAATAACAGAAACATAATTCAGCTGGATGAGATGCTCTGGACAATTCATTAGATGAGTTTCCACAAAGCCCCATCTGACTTTCTGGGTAACCAAAGCAGGTTTAGCAGTTTTATGCATCAGATCATTTGAAGTGCCAAAGCATGTGTTGGAGCCACAGGAGCTAGTCTTCAGCCCTGTATTAGTCACTTCCAGAGTTTACCTCTGCATCAGAACCAGCCAAGAACAGTTTGTATTTCTCTTTCTTATTTTTTTTTGTGAGTATTTTTTTCCTGTGTGTATGCCTGGAAGTCATGGCTGACTTCTGGCTTGGACATTTCAGAGAGGTGGCTTACTATTACCTGCCTCCCAGCTATGGTATTCTTTGAAGGTCTCTCTTCCAAGTATTTGCCAGGGTTGGTCCTATTTAGCTTCCAAGATCTGACGAGATCAGATTTGCCTAGGTTATCCAGGTCAGGGTGTATTTCTCTTTTAAACAAGTGTTGTAAACCTGTTTCAAACTGTGACTTGCCCCTCAGTCAGGGGCAAAGTAGACATTCAGGTTTTTAAAGAGCTGGGTCTGGGTTCCCTGTAGCCACACAGCAGCTGTGGGGAATGGCTTTTTTAAAAAAAACAAAGGAGAGCCTAAAATAATATGAGGTCAAGGAATGTTATAAAAATGATACAAAGGGAATTCCCCGTTATATGTATTTATGGCTGCGGTCACATGGAGCATTAGCCACGCTACAGAGGCGGAAGATAGGCGGATTTTCCGGGCACGATCACACCGCAACATCTGGGAAGCGTAGAGCTCCCGTGGCGAACCTGAGGCTTCCTGCCGAAGATGCGGAGTTAAAAACTAGTACCTCCAAGGTACTAGTTTCCGGAAACTGCGGGGCTAGGGCTGGCGTCTGATCGCGTTTCCGGTGGTGGCATCCGGCACCCGCCCATGTCCCTTCGCAAACAGGTTCCCCCCCCAAAGTCTCCACAAGATGTGCACAAGCACCCAATGGCGCATGCACACAAAGAGGAAAGCGAAAGTGCCGTTTCGGCTTAAAAAAAATAAATGACCCTGTTTGTCACGGCAGCGGCGCCTAGCCATTGCTGGTGTGATCGTGCCGCGCCACTTCTTTGCCACACTGCAGGATCGTCGTGTGATTGCCACCCTCGTTTACCCGCCAGTGCCGAGGGAAGGACCTGTGGTGTGCCGCTGGTGCGTCTGATCGCTTAATCGCGGATCAAACTGCGCCGGGGCAATTAGCCACACCTCCCCCCGCGCGCGATATCCGGCCCGTGTGACCGGGGCCTATGTATGTTTTTCTATTTGTTTGTCTTAGATATGCTTTCCTGCACTGAAACTGTGGTGTGTGGGGGGGTTATTTCCTGTTTTTTCTGCTCCACATGGAGTATTCTGTGCTTTGTGGAGCAGCAAAAATGGGGAAATACCCCCCCCCCCGCAGTGTTTCAGCACAGGAAAATGGCTGGGGGGACAGGAGCCCCTTATCCCACCATGGTGGCCTTCAGAGCCCGTTTGGGGTTTCCTTTATTTTTTAAAAGCCATTCGCCGCAGCTGCTGTATGGCTGTAGGGGGCCCAGAACACCAGCTCTTTAAAAACCCAAATGTCTAGTTTGGCCCTCAGAAGTCAGTAATTGTCTCCTAAATTTGTGGGATGAAGGGAGCATGCAAGCACATGATTTGTTCTCCTAACACCAAACCATAGCTCAGTATGTTCTGTGACCTGAGCCTGTAGGAAACAAACTAAACCTGAATGGAAGGGAGATATAAGATTTTTGATACATCATCAGGATCTCAAGCTGTCTTATGCTGCTGTCTTTTTCAGTAGCCTGCAGGGTCTCTCTGCTTCCGAAGCCCAAGTAGAATATAGATCTTGCAAGTAAGCACAGGGGTTCTTGGAAACCGACTATCTTAACTTGTCTCCAGAGTCCTGAACTGCTGGGTTCCTGAAACAAAAAGGGTGAGCTCTCATGTTTCTGTATAGTTGCACTTGGTTGTTATTGTGACCCTCTTCCAGGTGATATATCTTACAGGAATGTTGTGATAATTACCGAGATGGGGTTTATGAAGCACTTTTAAGTACACCAAAGTACAATATAAATCCTAAATGTTACTTTCCAAGGCAAGGATTGATTGTAGCATTCTGTAGACCCTTATGTTCAGGCAGTCAGTTGGAGAGATTCCATTTTCTTACAACCTGTTTTATACATTGTTTGCAAGAACAAACATGTTACTTTTATGCTGAGATCCAAATTTTCCCCCTCCCAGCAGATCTCTACATATATTACTGTGCCACCCTCTCCTCTGATCCCGACACTAGTTCAGGGTAACATCTTAGTGAGTGATGAGGTATTGATGTCTGCTATGTCAGCTTTTACAACTCTGGACCAAACCATGTCTGCAGTACAGCCTTCTGTGCAGGTAAGTAGACTCTTTTTTCCTGTCTTTTAAGATGTGTGAAAGTGCTGGCAAATTGCACACATAGAACTGGATTAAAAGCAAGGTAATTTAATGGATAGCTTACTGTAAAGACACACAGATACAAGAAGAAGAAAGCCTGTGAAACTGAAAGCCTGTCAGAACATAACTGCCTCTTTCTAAGTCAAATAACTATTTGATAACATGGTAAACACTGCAGTCACTACAAAATGACTGGTTTCACACTTTGACTGGAATGTATACAGCTGTTCAGTGCTAAATAAGTGGCTAATTGCTCACAGCAATGGGAGATGTTGCAGTCATTGCGTAATTCCATGTTGTCCAGTGGTCAAAATGGCAAAGAGTGCATTAGAAACCTTTGGGAGCATCTGGTGTTATTGCCAGCTAAGAGGTTAAATGCAGATTTCCACCCGTGATTTTCCTACCTTCCCCTCCCGCTGTCCAAAATATCCCTGAAATCCTGTTCCCTGAAAATAAGGTTTCATGCAGCCATAGAATGGGGGATACAAGAAAAACACACATGGAAACAATATTAGCTTGGATCCAAGCCAAGGAGTACACATGCTGTGATCTCATCTCCTCTACCCTCAAAAGATATGCTGGGGCGGGGGAGAGAAACCTTTGGGAAAGGCATGGAAAATAATGGCAAACAGTGTCTGTGGAAAGCCATGGTATACTATTAACATCTGCATTTTTTTAGTTTCATCCTCCTTTTTAAAGTCAGGCTGAAATATATGAAGGGCAAGTAACAGCATCTTGTGGTGCCTGAAAACTGAACAAATGCATTGCAGCTTTCGCAGTCGAGAGTAGAACCAGTATTGTCAGAGGTGCCTGCTTCATCAGATGCTACTGTTCTGTCTGACCAAAGTGCACTCTGGCTCTTGAAAGTTTAAGCCTTCATTGACATACTAGGTGCTAGATGAATCTTGTTGGTTTTGCTGCCAGGCAGATGTCCCTCTGTAACATGAAAAAGAGAGCACAAGACTGTGTAAAAATGGGAAATATCTGATTGCAGTTATCACCCTTTTAAGTCCATTAGAACATAAGAGAAGCCATGCTGGATCAGGCTAATAGCTCCTCCAGTCCAACACTCTGTGTTACACAGTGGCCAAAATCCAGGTGCCACCAGGAGGTCCACCAGTGGGGCCAGAGCTCCAGAAGCCCTCCCACTGTTGCCCCCCCAAGCACCAAGAATACAGAGCATCACTGCCCAACATATAGTGTTCCATTTATACCTTGTGGCTAATAGCTGCTGATGAATCTCTGCTCCATATGTTTATCCAATCCCCTCTTGAAGCTGGCTATGCTTATAGCTGCCACCACTTCCTTGTGGAAACCTCTATCATGTCAACCACTTCCTTGTGCAAACCTCTTCCTTGTGCACTGCGACCACTTCTTTGTGCAAACCTCTATCATGTCACCCCTCAATAGTTGTTTCTCCAATCTCTTTCATCTTTCTTCATAGGGAAGGTGCTTCATCCCCTTAATGATTTTAGTTGTCCTTTTCTGCACTTTTTCCAATGCTATAATGTCTTTTTTGAGGTGCAGTGACCAGAACTGTACACAGTATTCCAAATCAGGCCGCCCCATTGATTTATGCAGGGGCATTATGATACTGGCTGATTTGTTTTCAATCTCCTTCCTAATAATCCCCAGCATAGCAAACTGCAGGAGCCAGTTTGGTGTAGTGGTTAAGTGTGCGGACTCTAATCTGGGAGAACCGGGTTTGATTCCCCACTCCTCCACTTGCACCTGCTGATGTGACCTTGGGTCAGTCACAAGCTCTGGCACAGCTGTCCTTGAAAAAGAGCAGTTTGTGTCAGAGTTCTCTCAGCCCCACCCACCTCACAGGGTGTCTGTTGTGGGGAGGGGAAGGGAAAGGAGTTT